CAATCCCTTCTCCTCCATTCTCCTCTCAGGATCTTGGGCACGCACGCACACGCGCCCGGCGTGAGTTTTAAGCCACCGGGTCTGGGACGCGAACCGCGGTCGACTACGTGGCAGTCCAGCGACATAGCCATTACGCTAACTGCTGGTTCCCCTATCCCTAGACTTTTAAACTTTTTTTATAGTGTCTTAAATTAATTAAAGGAGTTAATTTATAATTAATTCAAGTTTTATGCTCCTTTTTGTGGTTTATGGTATTTACATTTAAGGATTATTTGTTACCTCAAGGATGAAAGGCAATTTTGCGTTTCTTAAATTTAAAAGTTATGCCTTTCATATTTAAATATTTGACATACCACAAAGAATTGTCAAATCAGATTCATAAAAGTTACAAGTCTTACCTAGTGTCAAGCTCAAATAATTTAAGCAGTTGTGATTTAAGTGTGCATGAAGGTGAAAATCAAGTCCAGCCTTGCCACTGCTATTCCCCAGGTCCATTCTTGCCTTATTAGGATGTATTCTGAGCCAGACTTAACTTGCGGTCTTTCTTTTTAAATATTTTCTTTTTCTTTTTTAAATTTGCTGGAGGGCATGTGTGCTTCCTGGAGAGAGAGCAATAGAGGAGGAGAAAGTGGGAATCTACCTCCCACTGGGAATGGTCATGCTGCAACCCTTTCTCCTCCGGGGATTTTGGGCACATATGCACACGTGCCTGGTATGGGTTTTTTTTTCTTTTTTTATGGAGAGGTTTTTGCTATAGGGCGCGTGCACTCACCAGACAGACAGAAAGACAGAGAGAGACAGAAAGCGAGAAATCACCCCCCCCCCAAGGGGGGATGGCCACGCCACAATCCCCTCTCCTCCATTCTCCAATCGGGATCGTGGGCACGCACGCACACAACGCCCGGTGTGAGTTTTAAGCCACCGGGTCCAGGACGCGAACCGTGGTGGACTACGTGGGAGTCCAGCGACATAGCCATTATGCTAACAGCTGGTCCCCGTGCCTAGTCTTTTTTAAGCCACTGGGTCTAGAATTTCAGCAGTGCAGTTGACCATATGGGATCCTGCCTTAACCACCAGACTCCTGACTGACCCAACCTGTGATGTTTCTAAGTGATATTTATAAGTCTAATAAGTTTATAAGTTTTATAAACTTATTATAAGTCTTTATAAGTTTAATACTTTTTAAATATAATGCTTGCAGTAAGTTATTTCTCATTTAAAAATTATACACAGTTTTCAGAATAATCTGGTAACATCTATTTAAATGTTATTCATTTTAATAGACTGAACCTCCGCTGAATACTCCAGAAAACAGGGAATATACTGCCGAAATAATGTTCGAGTCCTTCAATGTTCCAGGCTTGTACATTGCTGTGCAGGTAAGCAGATTCATATTTATTAATGCTTAACTGTTACATTTTTTTTTTCTATAAAAACAGTCCAGTTTATTGGTTAAAAAAATACTATATTTGAAAAGCACCCTCCTGGAATTTTCAGATAATTTGCACACTTCATTTGGTTACACAGTAGTAACAGTGGAAATGAGAAGATAGAATATACTGTTTTTTATATATTTAGCACTACAATATAACCACTGCAAACCATCTCTCAGACTCTTAGTTCTGAGAAGGCAGAGGAGCCATTTAGAAAAAAAGTTTTCATTTCTGGCATCATTCAAACCCCCGGGGAAATTCAGAAAAAATGGGAGTGGAGTCTTTTGTTGACTCTTAACTTTTTTTTTTTTTTTTTGACTTTTTAAGTCTTTGACCTTAGGCCATGTGCACTTTCCAGAAAGAGAGAAATCCCCATGCTCTTCTGGGGATTCTGGGCACGCTCAGGTACAGCCTGGCATGATTTTCAAGTCGCCAGGTTCTGGATTTGAACAGCAAATGGCCATGTGAGAATCTAGTACCTTTACCACCTGCTGGCCCAACTTTTAAATTTTAATCTAGTTTTTTCCTTCTACGATACATAATTTGTTTTCTGCCAACTTTATAGGCTTACCAATTTTTTTCTGAATTGAAACTTATAAACAATATTGTTAGAAATGGAGATATTTAGTCATAAAAAAGAGAAATGTTAGAAGAAGTAAATGGTCTTTGGATATTTCATTTTTTAAAAATTTTGCCAGAAGTATACTTTTGTTTACCAGAGAGAAGAAAAGTGAGGAAGCACCCACCATGAGAAATGATAACACCACAATCCCTTCTCTATTTTCCTTCTCCTTTTATGAATTTGAGCATGCATGCATGTGAGCCCAATGTGTTTCTTAAGCTATAAGTTCTTGATCTTGAACCATGCAGTCGTCCATGTAGGATTCAGCTGCCTTAGCCACCTTTCCACAGGCTGGTCTGGTCTTAAGACATTTTAAGGGGCTTTGATAAGATAGAAGTAAGGGAACTAGTATTTATTTAATGCTTATTCCATGCTGGTACCATCACATACATATTTATATATCCTGGTAATGTTCGTGTGTCTTTTTCATGTTTTTTCTTTTTCTTTTTTTTTTTTTTTAAAGCTAGGCTTTAACTAGGTTGTCCAAGCTGGCCTTGAACTTAAGAGTCTTCTGCCTCAGCTTCCTGAGTAACTGAGATTACCAGTATGCACCACCATGCCTGGCTTCATAGTCCTTTTTGGTTGACTTACCTTTAAGTATAATTGACCACTCTTCCTTTGTCCCCTTCTATATCATTTTATCATAAATATCAGGGATGTTTTATTGTAACTAATTTGTACAAATATGTGTATGGAAAACCTCTTTCTTACCCCTCAGGATCAGACTTTCATCTCTTTATTTTTTAGCACATTAGCCTATGTAATACCTGACATAGCACAAACGCTTTATAAGTTTATGAATTCGTGACTCCTGTTAATTGTAGGTACTTTTATTTCTAATGTTTATAGAACAAGAAAACTAAAATGTAAAGAAAACTTGTTCTTAGTTAAATGGTGAACTGTGATCTGAGCTGAGGTCTGTCTGACTTTGCCCTTTTTTGGAATTAGTTTTTATAACTCTGGAGTACATAGACAGTACATGATTATTATTGGGATAAACATTTTAGCTTGGATAGCAAGAAGCATTTTAATATTTAATGCAACCCATAAATTGAGTGAGTTCTCTTTTAAGGTCTCTACAGTTACAGATATTTAAAAAAGTTGTATGCAACTTGGGACTCTTTGCTTCTTCATATTAAATATAATAAACTTATGTTTTGCAATATTGTCAGCTATAGCTTACTTTAAAACAATGGCATTGAGAGTTTTGTTTTATTCTTCTTTGGTCATAGTTTGGTATCTCAGTGATTTCCTTAATGGCCCCTAAGTGCTCTTAGCTTTACCAGTTAGTCTCTGTTTGATTTTGTTGATGTTAAGTAGTCAATAAAATTTCTGTAACATGATATGCACACACACACACACATATGTCCACATGTATCCCTCTTCTAGTAAAAGCATGTGCACTCTGCAGACAGAGAGAGAGAGAGAGAGAGAGAGCGCATTTTCTCCACCCTGTCAGGATTTTGGCTATATATGTACATTTCTGGCATGTTTTTCAAGCTGTTGAGCCTGGGATTTGAACTGTGGTCAGCCATGTGGAATTTGGCTCCCTTAACCACTAGGCTGTAGAGTTGGCCCTCTGGTTTGGTATCTTAACTATTTACAAAAGACTTGTAAAAATTATTAAAAATCATTCTAAGTTGTAAATGCTGGTTTTTATCCTTACCTAAAAAGGAAAGCTGTCTCACAGTAAAATATAGTTTTTAAGTTTTTTTTTAAACTGATTTCAGTATGAAATTTTAAAATTTAAGGCGTTTAAAGAAATATTGTTTGGTCCTGTTAATCTGCAGTGATTATATGGTCATTGTGGTAAAATGATCTGTATTAAAAATGAGTGACCTAGATAATCTTTGTAGGTTTCTCTCAACTATTATGTTGCAGGTAGGTAAAATAAGGCCTGTTTAGCTTTGTATTAAATAATCATGTACTTTCTTGAGCTAGTTTTTTAAAAGTGAACTTGTTAATCACTTAATTTTTGAACACTTTTTATTAAAGAGTCAATGTTGTATTGCTATGTCAAGAATTTTCATAGAAAAATTTCACTTCATCAGTTTTGCCTCCTAATTGAATCATACTGGTATTTGGAAGTGTGCAATGGGTTTTTCTGTTCTGTTGTACTAAGTGCATATTGCTTTTAAAAAATTTGAAGTGAATCTTTTTAAGAGTACTTATTTATAGCTGTCTCTGTATAGAATAACTATGGTGGTTGTGTACTTTGTACCTTACTTTGTGGGTTTAACAGTCTAGTCCACGTGAACATAGTTTAAATTCTGGAAATGTAGTAGTATAACATTCATGTTAATTTTCCACATATTTTTAGTGTTATGAGAAAAATGACCCTCACTAATGTAAAACTTATAAATATGCTCCTGAAAGCAAATATGAGTCCATGAGTTTGTCTTACTAAGATGTAAAAAGTGAGCAATTTTATTGTATAATACAAAATTTTATGTATTTTCTTTCCACAGATAACTACGTTTAAAATTAAATTCAGTATTCCACTAAACATTTTTTTTTAAATTAACCCTTTGTCTTTTTTAAAATCTTTGCTTGTCCTGTTTATTTTTGTTAAGGCTGTTCTTGCCTTAGCTGCATCCTGGACCTCAAGACAAGTAGGAGAACGGACGTTGACTGGTACGGTAATAGACAGTGGAGATGGTGTCACTCATGTCATCCCTGTGGTAAGGATTTCTTTAAAAATACTGAACGTGGCATGAAGTAAAATATCCGGCAAAATTAAATTGTCTTTTAATACCATTTGAAAATATTTTAAAATAATTTGCTTAAAAAATTTGCTGTTATTTGACTATTTGCTCAATTACAGCTACATTTTGCTTAACCTACTAAAATTTTATAAGCAAATATAAGTGTTTCTTTTGCTAGAAATTTGTGCTGCAGTTAGGAAAATCATGAATTGGAGTATCAGGAATGGAAATATATTTATGGCTTCTTTCCAGATAGGGAATTTTGTTTTCCAGTTAGATATTTATGTTTGTGTGTGTTACCTAGTTGATGGCCTCTCTTATCCATACTAAACAGATTTTAGATTGGTGCATAGGATAACTATATAGCAGTTAGTTATAAGTACATGAACATTAAAGGCTTTGGAGTATTTATTTTGTTGAAAAAAGAGCTTGAGTCTAGTGATCATGCTTTATGGTTTGCATTTAGTTAGGCATACTAAGAAAAATGCACATCAGATTGGATTATTTGTCATAGATAGCATTTTTTTTATAGATAGCATTTTTATGAAGGTCTTTTTGCTTCTTTTTCTTAGACAAATTAGATTTTTAAAATTACTCCTACTGAATTCAAAACATCTACTAGAATTTTTATTGGTCATTATTAGATGGGCATACATAGAAAGGTTTATATTTTAAAGTCATATTTATATTGAATATCATCTAAGTAATGAAATTATTTGGAACTTTGAAGTCTTCATTATTCTTGTATTTTGAACACATTAGACAACCTCTGTTGAGGATTACATCCTTCGGATAACTTCCTTTGAATTCGAGTCTTGGTGTCTGTATGTACTCTTACCCTCTTGATATATCATACCGTATTTTTTTTTTAAGATTACTGAATTAAGTAATTTATTAGTTAAACCATTTGCAAATACTTTTTTTATTATCATCATAATCTTTTTTATATTACATTGGATTACATATAACTTTACAGTGTATTACATTGCTTTTTCAAAAGGGAATGCCATGCAAGTCAGTCAGTACAAAGACATTAATCTCCCCGCTTCAACAATCAATATCTTTTCTATGTTTTCCCCAATCTCATATCGTATTAATAATCTCTTTCATCACGACTGATAACTGTATTGAGATATAACTTACATAGCTTACCATACAGTTTCCCCCTTTAGAGTATATAGTTTATTGTTTTTTGGTGTATTCACTGAGTGAATCATCACCATAGTTAATTTCAAAGCATTTTTAGCTCCCTAAAAAAAGAAATTGGTGTCTGTTAGCAACCCAGTATTCTCAACTTCTGGCAAAAACTAATCTGCTTTTTGTCTTTTGCCTAGTCTGGCCATTTCATGTATTTATGAATATATATGTATATGAATCTGAATATATTCATATATATGTAATGTATTTTGGTGTTTGTGTGTATTGGGTTGCTAGAAAAATCATGATGTATTTTCACATAGAAAAACAAAGAAGAAATATATCATGATTTTCCTGATGATCCAGTTTATACACATATATATTTAGTTTTTTTGGGGGGGAGGGGAAAAGTTTTTGCTATAGGGTACATGCGCTCGCCAAGAAGACAGACAGAGAAACAGAAAGGGAGAAATTACTCCCCGGGGGGATGGCCACGCCACAATCCCTTCTCCATTCTCCTCTTGGGATCTTGGGTATGCACGCACATGTGCCCAGCATGAGTTTAAGCCATCGAGTCTGGGACTTAAACTACAGTCACCTACATGGGAATCCAGCGACATAGCCATTATGCCTACTGCTGGTCCTACATATATTTAGTTTTGAGATAGGGCACGGGTATACACCAGAGAGACAAAGAGGCGAAGGGAAAGTGAAAAATTACCCTCCAGGAGGTATGGCCACACCATACTCCTTTCTTCTTTGGTCTCCTCTTGGAATTTTGGATATGCATGTATATATGTCTGGCATGGTTTTCAAGCTGCTAAATCTGGGACTCAAACTGTGCACTTGGGCATATGGGATCCAGTGCCATAACTTCCATACCACCTGCTAAACCATGGTCATTTCATATAAATGGGAACATACTGTGTTGGTTTTTTGTGATTGCCTGCTTTAGCCTAAGGTTTATTCATTTATTTATTTATTTATTTTTGGAGATGTTTTTGCTATAGGGTGTGTGTGCTCACCAGAAAGACAGAGAGAGACAGAGAGACAGAAAGCAAGAAACCACCCCCCAGGAGGGTTGGCCATGCTGCAATCCCTTCTCCATTTTCCTCTTGGGATCTTGGTCATGCACACACATGTGCCTGGCGTGAGTTTAAGCCACTGGGTCTGGACTTGAACTGTGATCGATTACATGGGAGTCCAGCAACATTGCCATTACGCCAACTGTTAGTCCCTATCCTAAGGTTTTTAAGATTCATCCGTGTTGTAGCATGTATAGAACTTCACCTCTTTTTATTGCCAAATTTACTTTTTTTTTAGGTTTTTGCCATAGGGCCAGAGAGACACTGAGAGATAGTGAGAGGGAAAGTGAGACATCACCCCTCTCTACTGGGGAAGGCCACATCCCCATCCCTTCTCCTTCTGGGATTTTGAGCCTGCATGCATACATGCCTAGTGTGATTTTCAAGCCACCATTTCCAGGACTTGAGCTGTGGTTGACCATGTAGGAGTCAAGGACCTTAACTACCATGCCACCTACTGGTTCCTTTAGTGCCAAATAATATTTTATTGTTTGAAAACATATACCTAATTTTACTTAGCCATTGGGATATTTTAATGTCTTAGAAATTGTGTCCATCATTTGGTAGCTTTCTATAGTTTTATTGGCAGCTTATTTTTCTGTGTTATTGTTACATAAAATAATTTATTTAAAAAGTGTTTCTTAAACCTGTGAATCAGTCCGTGATGTAGCTATATTATTCTTTGAGCACCTCATTGACACATTAATAAAAGCAAATAAGTGATCTGCCTAAGGTCACCAAATAATAGATAAGGAGACTTGAATTTGGATTAATTTTGATTGTCTTTCCTATTTCTTTTTTCTGCGCAACTTATGGCACTAATGTCAGTATCCTAAAAATTAAAATGGGTGATTTGCCAGTAAAAATTATCAACACAAAGAATGAATTTCAGTAAGGATTTTAAGAATGGGTACTATAGGGCCAGCAGGTAGTATAGTGATTAAGGTGCTGGACTCCCACATGTCTGACTGTGGTTTGAGTCATGGACCTGGAGGTTTGAAAGTCATGCTGGGTGCATTAGCACACACGTGCGTGCCCAAATTCCCAGGAAGAGAATAGAAGAGAAAGGATTGCAGTGTGGGCTTCCACCACTGTGGGAAGGGTATGATTTCTCTTCCCCCTCATTCATTCATTCTCTCTCTCTCTCTCTCTCTGATGAGTGCATATGCCCTGTGGCTAAAACCTTAAAAAAGTGGGAATTCCTTTTTTTTTCCCTTTTGAATTAATGGAGGTATTTTTAATTCCATTTTATCGACTTGTTATGCTAAACCTCTTTGCTATTGTCATTAGTTTTTTTCTGTGGTGGTTGTTACTCTGCAGTTTCTAGAAAATGATCTTTTAACTCATCACCATCTAACTACCAATACTATTTATCAGTTCATAAATAAGAATTGTGCTACACAGTGTGCTTCGCTTTTAGTCTTTGTGATATCATTGTCATTCATTTAACTTTTACAATTTCTAGTACTCTTTATTGTTTTGTGAAGGACCAGATTTTCAACTGCCTTCATTTTTTTCCCCCTAAATAGCGTCCTTGAACATTTTTAATAGGGCTAGTCTTCTGGCTGTGAAATTTTTCTAATTCTGTACCTCTTTTGAGTAAGTCTTTGTTTCTCCATTTATTTTTGCTTGGTATAGTTTTTTCTTTTTCTTTTTTTTTTTTTGTCATAGGGCATTTGCACTTGCCAGAGATAAATAATTTTTTAAAAGAACTATTTATTTAATTTTATTTATTCATTTTCATTTTATTATTATTATTTTTTAATTTGACCAGAAAGACACACACACACACACACACACACACACACACACACAGAGAGAGAGAGAGAGAGAGAGAGAGAGAGAGAAAGTGAGAAAGCAAGCCACCAGGTCCGAGACTCGAACTGTGGTCAGCCATGTGGGAGTCCAGCACCCTTATCCACTATGCCACCTGCCAGCCCCAAGATAGGTAAAGAATTTTAAGTTGACAGTTTTCCCTTTCCAATGTCCTACTATTGTCTTCTGGCTTATATTGTTTCTGAGAGTAAACCAGCTGTTATTCCTGCTTTTAATTGTAGTATTTATTTGGCTGTCTTGAACATTTTATCTTTATTTCTTGTTCATTGGTTTTCAGCAATTTAATTGTGATATATCTAAATGTAGTTTTCTTTATGTAGTTTCTTTTGGGGGTTTGAGCTTTTTTGATCTCTGGATTTATAGTTTTTATATCTGGAAAAGTTTTGTCTATTTTTTCTCCACATACTTTTTCTGTTTCTCCCTTTTTTCTTACCTTTACAGACTATAGTTACATGTGTATTAGGCTGCTTAATGGTATCTCAGTTCACTCATACTATGCTCATTCTTTTTCTAGTATTTTTTTTCTGTATCATTTTGCGAAAGTTTTATTGCTGTGTCTTCAAATTTACTGTCTTTTCTTCATTTTCTAATCTGTGTAATCTTATCTAGTGTAGTTTTTTTATTTCAGAGATTATATTTTTCTCCCTAGAAGTTGTGTTGGGTTCTTTTTATATCTTCCATTTTTCTCTTCCTCATGCTCATGTTTCCATTGACCTTGACCGTGTGAAGTATGTAGTAGCTGTTTTAAGCTTCTTGTCTACTAATTCTTTTGTCTTTATCATTTCTCTTTGTTGACTAATTTTTCTCCTTGTCCAGGGTTGTACTTTTCTGCTATTTAGAATACTTGTAATTTTCATTAGGTACTGTGTATTTACATTTTTGTGTCCTAGGCTTTTGCAGTCTTAGTTTTGTGCCTGGGATATAGTTGATAGCCAAGAGTTTGAACCTCTCAGGATATGCTTTAGTTTTTTGTTTGTTCTAAATTTATGTTTTTAAATTTGCATATGAAATCTTATGCATTTATATTGTACAATGTAATGTTTTAATGTATATATTAATTGAGAATGGGTAATCTAGTTAATTAACCAGCTATTACTAAGCAGGTCCAAAGCAGGCTTTTGTGTTGGCCTGGTTTGTCTCTGCTGATGAGGCAATATCCTTCTGAGTGCTCTAATTGATAATCCTGTGTTTAAGAGTGTCTTTCAACTCTGGTTAGTGTGTGACTGTGAACTGTTCTCAGCCATATGTGAGCCCTGGAAGTTGTTCTCTCTGCCCCATTTTAGAAATTCTTTCTCTGGCCTCAATGGTATCTTCATGAATGTGCATTAGCACACTAGTTATAGTAGTACACTAAGGTAATACTCTTGTCATATCTCCAGAGTTCTCTGTTTGTGGAACTCCTTTACGTCTAGTAGTCTGATCTACGAAATTTTGCCATATTCTTCTCCCTAATCTCTAAATTGATTATCTTTAACTTACTAAGACCACCAGGTACTGTTTAGGTTTTTCTTCCTATTACTGCTTTTTGGCAACTCTTCCCCAAGCAGTGAGATAGTGTTTTTTTTGCATTTACCTTGTTTGTTAACCTTTTTTTTAGAAGAGGTTGCCACCCTGCTCTGCCTGTTATCCAATGACTGAAAACCTTTATTTCATATATAGTTTCTAGTTTATCTCATTTAAGTGGGTAGGATAAATCCAGTCCCTAATAGTCTGTCATGGCCAGGCAAAAATGTCCCTAATATTCTTTCTTAATGCAACTTAATATGCCTACATTATTTGTTATACTTTTGACCAAATGTAAGTAAATTTATGAATCCATTTTATAGAATTTAGTTATTAGGCATTGTAATGGTACCTGGAATGCCTCAGTCTTGTGACATGGGTACCTACTTCATTAGGAAAATGATAGCCACTTGGCGGATTAACGAGCACATTTTTAATAATGAAATACAATTTTTTTACCAAAATTATAAAAGATTTAAAAATCTGTATCGAATAAAGAGTTTGCTGTCTAAGTCATTTGTTACTTGTCTTCTGGAATTCATTCTTTTTGGATTGTTGAGTAATTTCAGTCATGGTTATAAGCTGTTAATGGGAGAATAAACCTAAGTTGCTGGCCATGCTTGTTCATAATTCTGTTAGAATTATTTTATGATAAGTACATTGGGAAAAATATAATTGAGGATTAAAGAATGATATTGGGATAAAACAATACTTGATAATATTGAGTAATTGGTCTTTAATGGTTTATTATTTAGGTTACATTAATTTTTAGAACATTGAAAGTAAGCTTGATGCCCTTTTTCTTCCATGTAGGCTGAAGGATATGTGATTGGCAGCTGTATTAAACACATTCCAATCGCAGGACGAGATATAACGTATTTTATTCAGCAACTACTAAGAGACCGAGAAGTAGGAATCCCTCCAGAACAATCTCTGGAAACTGCTAAAGCAGTAAAGGTAAAACATAATGATAGAAATGTAATGTAGTTAAAAATTAAAAACCACATTATGACATTAACAAGAAAAATTATTATTTTTTTCCTTTTAAAATTTTATCAGAGGGCCTGTGCAGTCACTAATGATGGAGAGAAGGGAAGAAAAGACACCCTGGGGTGTGTGGTCATGCCACAGATCCTTCTCTATCTTTCCATCCTGTTGGGATTTTGTGCCTCATGAACACATCCCCAGCATATTTTTCAAGACCTCAGGGCCAGAATTCGAACCATGGTCAGCTACATGGGGTCAGACTCTTTTTTTTTTTTTTTTAATCTTTATCAAGTATTTATTTACATTTGGCAAAATTGAGGCAATATTATTGGGTATTAAAAAAGTCATGATACATTTTTCCATAGAAAATTAAAAAAATAAAAAACCGTGATTCTCACAGCAACCCAATATCTTTTTCTTTTTCTTTTTTTTTTTTTTGAGAGGTTTTTGCTATAGGGCGCATGCACTTGCCAGACAGACAGAGAGAGACAGAGAGATAGAAAGCGAAAAATCCTCAGCCTCCACAACTCAGAAAGACTAGAGAGGTCTAGAATTATAGCTTGTTTTATTATTAATTAATTTTTTCTTTTTTTAAACACTACTATGCTATACATCATTACAGTATACGAACAGAATTTTTCATCCAAAATACACTCACTGTTGGCTCAATCAAGCACATCAACATACGTGTTATCAACAAACATTTTTTCATTTCTTATATCTTGTATATTTTGCGTTGTTTTTTTTTTTTTTCCATTCTTGATTCCCTATCCCTAACCCTCTGCCCTGTCCAACCCTCCTTGCATTGTCTCTAGTATCCATGATTGCTTTCTATGCCTATTCCCCCTCCCATTTAATTGATTTGCTAATGAACTTAATTTGCCTAAATATTTGCAATAGCAAGCACAGCTGATATATACATACACAAGAACCTATGTCTGACTTTAGGCATAAACCTCAGTGAGTAGAATGAACATACTATAAAATAGTACCTAGCTGGGGCTATATAGCTTACTGTGGTCATCAAATACACAGTTTTTTCTTTGAATTTTGGTAACAGTTTTAGTATTTTTTTCTCTGAATTTTTTTTTTTAAATTTACATTCATTCCCTGAGCATCATCACAACATACTAAATGTGGTTTCCCCTCTAGAGTAAACTGCATAGTGGCTTAATCACGCATGTTATCATCCATAAAATTCCATTACTACTTTCATATATATGTTTTTTACCCCATGTGGGGTCAGACTCTCTTAATCACTAGTCCACAGAGCTACTGAACATGGAAAATTCTTAAGTGAAGAACACCATGTTCCAAAAAATCTTGTAATCCAGATACTAATTTTTCTTTATAAAAAAATTTTAAACATTTATTTATCTGTCTGTCTATATTTTTGTGATTTTTCAAGCCACCTGATCTGGGTCTTGAACTGTGGTTGGCAATGTGTAGTATTTTTTTTTTCTTTATGTCTTTTGATCATCAGTATTAATAATTGTATCTATCTTAGAATCCTTAATTTGTACAAATGCTGGAAATACTTCTGTTTTTAATAAAAGGAAGTAAGAAGCTGGTAGTCAGGAGTCCATATATTGGAAATAGGATGTTAAAATAATTTTTAATCATACTTTTGATGAAAAATTTATTTAGGGCATACAACCAATAATGCAGCAGTTAGTTCAGCCTAGTAGGTGATGTCGTTAATGGTTTATATTTTGAGCCCCCTTTTTTTTTTTTTTTTTTTAAATTTACTCACACCATAATCGGTTTTGTTTAAGATAGGCATTAGGGATCTGTTGTATGGTTGTATCAGCTGTTATTCACACTTCAGTTCTGTGTATATTTTATTCTTTCTACAATATTAGATTGTTATTACTAAAAGAGTAGAAAATGTCAGAAAACATTAGAAAATACTTTCAGAAAAAAAAATTTAAATAATAGAAACCAATTCTGATCTTTCAGATTTTAAGTCTGCTCATATTTGAAGTTAGAAGTTAAATTATGTTTAGGAGATGAGCTGTGTGTTTGACTGCATAGTTGCTAATATGCTAACAATTTTTTTTAGCTTGATTTCTTAGTTTTATTTTCTGAAATTTTGTTTTATTTGATTATAGTTTACTGAAAATAATATACCTTTTATAACTTTCTCTAAAAAAGAGAAAAAAATTAGTTTTGTTTCTTTGCTTTTTTTAGGAGCGCTATAGTTATGTCTGCCCAGATTTAGTAAAAGAATTTAATAAGTATGACACAGATGGGTCAAAGTGGATTAAACAGTATACTGGAATCAATGCTATCTCAAAGAAAGAATTTTCCATTGATGTTGGTTATGAGAGATTTTTGGGACCTGAAATCTTTTTTCATCCTGAGGTAAGATTTTTTTTTCTTTTGAGGGATTTGTTTAATAATATTTAGCAGGAAATATTAGCTAGAAGATATTTAGGGAAAATTAATCTTAGAAATTTTCTTCAGTTTACTAAAATACTGTAATGAGCCATATTTTTATGAATATGTTGCTTTTATTACAGTCTAAACTTATTTTTCAATGTGTTTAGAAAATAACTTCTGTTTCTTTAATATTTATAGGTTATGGAGGAAGCTAGTTATTGGAAAAGGGGAGCCCTTAACATTTATGATCATTTAAATAAAGTATTTTGAGAAGATTCTAGGATATCCCTCTTCCACACATGTGTAAAATAACCACTATATGAAAAACTTTGAATTGATTTTTATAAAATATTTGTCTTGTAGCAAAGTAATGTTCTGTCTGCATGAAATCTTAGCAGCATAAAGGCTGTATTTAATTAATGAAATATGTACCTTTAATAATGAAATAAATTCTTCTAGTAGCTTAGTGTCAAAAATAAAATTACTAACATTTAATATCTACTCTGTTTATTCAGCCTTAAGAACAATTATTTTTAAAATACTGTTTAATCACTCAGCAAAATATTAATTGCATATGATTTTCATAGTCTCAGTGTAAGTATTGGGTATTCAAAGATGAAAAAAATTTTATCTTTCAGGTAGCAAACTAAAAATATAAGAGATGAATATTCAAACAGTTACAGTTGCTTTAAGAAATACGTGTATCTTGTGAGGGCATAGGAACAAAGAATATCTTAGTTTCCTTTACAGAACCATGGAAACATTCAGAGGAATTAATAACTGAACAGAGACTTAAATGATGAATAGGTATTTCTCACACAGGTGTCTTAGGGGTATACATTTTTAACATAGGAGATAAGCTGGGCAGAGATCTGGTATGTGAAAAAGCTAGATATTAGAAGTATAAAGGAATGTGTGGTAGGAGATGGGCCCTGATAATATGCGTGGAACAGATCATGAAGGACAAATATGTAATGTAAGAACATTTGCTGCATTCTGTAGTTAGTAGCTATGTAAGTGGTCAGCATGGAAATGAAGTGTCACACATTTATATAAGGTATTAGAAAAGTTACTCTGGCAGCACTGGTTTGGATAGATTGGAACAGTAGGTGAACACTTACACTTTATAGACAGTGTAAGAGGAGTCTGTAAAGAATATTGAAGATTATGGAGAGGAAGAAGCCAAACCAAAGAATTGTGTTCATAAAGTTTATAGAAATGGCTATTTCTTTTTTTTTTTTTTTTTTTTTTGGAGGGTTTTTCTATAAA